AAAAAAGAGAAGAGAGTGAAAAGAGTGATGACAGAGTCCTAGTACATTAAGGAAACTGAGAAAACAACCGTGATCATATCTACCTGGTTGTCTTGGCTTTGGTCTGAGACTTCAAACTGGGAGTTTTTAGCAGAAAGGAAGATATGTTTAGCTTTTAAATAAACAGACAATCAAAAAACAAAACAGAACAAAGAAATCCAAGCAAACAAACATATATTTGCCTATAATCATGTATGTTTGCAGTGAAACTCTTGGGGAATCTTCTTATCCCTGATGGAACTATCTATAAACCTGCAGGAGTCAACTGTTAGAGGTTTAATTGTATTTGTCCCTTCACAGTAAAAGCACTAGTGATCTTTATTTTCGTCCGGAGGCCTTATGGGCAGGTTTGGATGTTTGCTGTGCTCACAGTGTAAACTCTGACTCCTCTGGCTGGCTTATTCTATCAAAAATCTAAAAAAGTCATGACGGATGGAAAATAACACAGTGGATGTTATTTTTTCAAACTGCCTCAGTTGTGAAATTCAGCATTATTTGTGACATATTCATGCTGAACAAGCGTAACAAAGACTGAAGTCAGCGACTCTTATTCGTATTATATTGCTTGTTATTCTGTAGGTTTGTCATGTTGTCATTTCTGAATTTTGGAAACTTTTGTTTTAAATTAAATTGTTTCGAAGTACGGATGAATGGACTGACGGGCAGATTCAGATTGACAGAAGGGAGACTTCACCTTTGCTTCCCCACCTGACTGAAGGTCATTTTAGTGATCCCTGTGGAAACCCCACGGCTGGAGTGAAGCTGTGGGGCCAGATGAGTTTTTATTGGTGGAAGTCACAGCTCAGTGATCTCTCTCTCTCTGTGTTCTCAAGCAGTTAGTTTAGCCAAAGACACTGTCTGCCTTTGAAATAAATACTGTGGAAGGTGGTAGGATGACTGAAAATAAAACCTATTGAGCTTCTCTTGGATTTCTATCACATATTTCATATAGCATGGACATGGCATAAGTAACTCTGGCTCAATGATCAAGACGTTTTAAAAGTATCGATACTACGCCTTCACATTCTCTTAACCATGGAGTCTCCATATTGTCAGAAAGCGTGCTTGCTAAATCAGATTAATAAGATCACAGTCGTGGTCCGAATAGTCCATCAGTTCCCTACATAGCATGCCAGATGTCCACGATGTCCGAGACAGCTTTTCTTTTACAAGATCACTAAAAAAGGTTGTCTCTTAATGTATAAACCCACTAGGATGGCCTCAAGGCTTTTATTCCTTGTCTCAATAATATTTCTAGTCTCTGGGTATGAGGCTTTTTGTAGTTGTGCTTGGTATAACAAAGACATTCAAACTGCTGACCACACATGCACATGCATAGATGACCAGCAGATCAATTTTTAT